AGTCTCCTGCCTCAGCCTCCCAAGTAGCTGGGACCACAGGTGCCCGCCACAAAGCCTGGCTATTTTTTTTGGTTGTAGCCGTCATTGTTGTTTGGCGGGCCCAGGCTGGATTCGAACCCGTCACCTTAGGTGTATGTGGCTGGCGCCTTAGCCACTTGAGCCACAGGCGCCGAGCCAACCTTGGAAGAACTTAGATGAGGGTGCAGAGAACATTAAGCATTGTCTAGGGCCCCAGACTGCGCTGCTGCAGACAGAGCTAATAGTGTTCAGCTGTGGGCCACACAAACCCATTGTGGGAAAAGTGCCCCGGCAAGCTCCGCCCTCAGCTTCACACAGCAAGATTTGGGCAGGACACTTTGGGCAAGTAATGTAGTGACTGATCAGCCTAAAGGTGGGGACTGAGACACCTTACAGCAAGCATCCTCAAACTACGGCCCGCCTAGGACATTTATCCAGCCCGCTGGGTGTTTCTGCCACTGCTGCCTGTCCTGCTTAGCAGCCCACTTGTCCTGGGGCCCGTTGTCTGGCCCTCCAACGGTCTGGGGGAAAGTGAACTGACCCCCTCTTTAAAAAATTTGAGGACCCCTGCCTTACAGCCTTGGCCCTCAGGGGCAGAGAGTGAGACTGGTTTTGGCACTCTGGGTAAGCAGATAGCCACTTCAAGAGTGAAGCCAGCAACAAGCGCTTTCCCTGGAAAGCTTGTGCTTAGCCAAAGTTAACAGTTTAAAGTGCCTTTTAAGCAGGCTGAGAGATTAAGGCTCTCTACCCTGTGGGGTTTGAGAAATCAGCACAGGCCCCCAGTCTCCATCTTGTATAGCTGTATCAGCATTGTGATTCACATCTCATACCCCAGAAGATCACCTGTTGCCCAGACAATATTCAGCAAGATATATATGTTGCTTTGTTTTTCGTTTTTTTTTTTCATTTCAACATTTCCCCCCTAGATTTTTTTCTTTCTTCATTTTTCTAGTTTAAATATAATTTTCTATTGTTGCCTCTTTTAACTATTAGAACTTCGTTTGCTAGTGTTTCTACCTCTATTATTTGGTTTTCCCCCCAATTTTATCCCATAAAGTTTTCCGTTTGCTTGTTTTGGTTTGATTTATAGCATTTTTTGTCTTTCCTCTCTACTGGGTGGAGGTGGGGTACTGTGTCTGAACAGGCTGGCAAAGAGCTGCTGACCTCAGGGGAACCACCCAACCAGGCACCCCCAGAGGATGGGGGTTTTAAAGGTTGGGTCAAACCTTTAAAACTGTACACCTATATTGCTCCTGTCTTTCTCTTTCTGTGCCTCTCTTCTTTTTGTCAATATTCCCTTTAACTCACCCCCTCTCCTTTCTCTCTCTCTTTTTTTTTTTTGAAATCTTTTTTCCCTTCTTGCTCTTCAATCTTCTCATCCTTCACTCAAATCCCACGCCAGAGGCATGGTAACTTAAAGAGCAAGAGGAAGTGAAAGGAAAATTAGGGCAAGGAAACAGGTAAAAGAAAATACTCATGAGGAAGAATCAGCAGAAAAATCCTGGCAACATGAAAAACCAGTCCAGAGCAACTCCCCCAAGGGACCCTGAGGTAGCTACTGCAGAGGATTCCACCTATAAAGAAGTGTTAGAAATGTTAGAAAGGGAATTTAGAATACAGATGATGAAAATAATGAAGGAAATGATGGAAACAATGAAGGAAACTGCTGATATAGTGGAAAATAACCATAAGGAAATCCAAAAACAGAATCAAGTAAGAGATGAACGATATGAAGAATATAGAAAGGATATAGCAGAGCTGAAGGAACTGAAGCAGTCAATTAGGGAACTTAAAGATGCAATAGAAAGTATTAATAACAGATTAGACCATGCAGAAGAAAGAATCTCAGAGGTAGAGGACAAAGCTCTTGAGATAACTCAGTTAAAGAGGCAGAAAAGAAGAGAGAGAAAGCAGAATGTTCACTGACAGAATTACGGGACTTTATGAAGCATTCAAGCATACGAGTTATAGGTATCCCAGAAGGGGAAGAAGAATGCCCCCAGAGGAATGGAAGCCGTATTAGAGAATATCATAAATGAAAATTTCCCAAATATCACCAAAGATTCTGACATACTCCTTTCAGAGGGATATTGGAGCCCAGGTCGTCTCAACTCGAACTGAGCGTCTCCAAGACACACTGTGACTAACCAGTCCACAGTCAAGACAAAAGAAAAGATTCTTCTGCTGCCAGGAATAAGCACCAGTTGATCTACAGGGGCAAATCCATCAGGTGACTGCAGACTTGTCTGATGAAACTTTCCAAGCAAGAAGACAATGGTCGTCTACCTTTAATCCACTGAAACAGAACAATTTCCAGCCCAGAATTCTATATCCTGCTAAGCGAAGATTTAAAATTGACAGAGAAATCAAATCATTTACTGATATGCAAACATTGAGGAAATTTGCCAGAACAAGACCAACTCTATAGGAAATACTTCAACCTCTTCTACATATTGACCATCACAATGGATCGATAGCAAAGTAAGAACTCAGAAATTAAAGGACAGAACCTAAGTTCCACAAAGATGCAAGATAAAACTAATCAATGGACTCTCACAAAATAAGATGAATAGAACATTACCACACTTATCAATTATCTCAATAAATGTTAATGGCTTGAATTCCCCACTGAAGAGGCATAGATTGGCTGATTGGATTAAAAAACACAAGCCATCTGTTTGCTGTCTGCAGGAAACACACTTAGCTTCAAAAGACAAGTTAAAACTCAGAGTTAAGGGTTAGAAGACAATTTTTCAGGCAAACGGAATTCAGAAGAAAAGAGGGGTTGCAATCTTATTTTCAGATACATGTGGATTTAAAGCAATTAAAGTCAAAAAGACAAAGATGGTCCCTTTTATTGGTCAAGGGAAAAATACAACAAATTCTAAATATTTATGCACCCAACTTAAATGCTTCCAGATTCTTGAAACAGACTTTATTCAGTCTGAGCAATATGATGTCCTATAACATCATAATAACAGGAGACTTCAACACTCCTCTTACAGAGCTGGACAGATTCTCTAAACAGAAATTAAAGATATAAGGGACTTAAAGGAGACCCTAGAACAACTGTGCTTGACAGATGCACACTTAAAGATATAAGGAACTTAAAGGAGACCCTAGAACAACTGTGCTTGACAGAGAACACTCCATCCCAAAGATAAAGAATATACATTTTCTCATCGTCCCATGGAACATTCTCTAAAATTGACCATATCCTAGGACGCAAAACAAACCTCAACAGAATCAAAAGAATTGAAATTTTACCATGTATCTTCTCAGATCACAGGGCACTAATGGTGGAACTCAAACAAAAACGTTCAACCCCACACAAAGGCATGAAAATTAAACAACCTTCTGTTAAATGACAGTTGGGTGTAGGAAGAAATAAAAGAGGAAATCATTAACTTCCTTGAGCATAACAACAATGAAGACACAAACTACCAAAATCTGTGGGATACTGCAAAAGCAGCTTTGAGAGGAAAATGTATCACTTTAGATGCCTACATTCGAAAAACAGAAAGAGAATGCGTCAACAAACTCCCAAGCCATCTTATGGAAATGGAAAAAGAAGAGCAATCTAAGCCTAAACCTAATAGAAGAAAAGAAATATCCAACATTAAATCAGAGATCAATGAAATTGAAAACAAAAGAATCAGCTCGGTGCCTGTGGCTCAAGTAGCTAAGGCACCAGCCACGTACACCCAAGGTGGCGGGTTCGAATCCAGCCCGGGCCCGCCAAAAGGACAATGATGGCTGCAACTAAAAAATAGCCGGGCGTTGTGGCAGGCGCCTATGGTCCCAGCTACTTGGGAGGCTGAGGCAGGAGACTTGCTTGAGCCCAGGAGTTGGAGGTTGCTG